CAGTTGCTGTTTGCTGAAAATGGTTTATCTGGTGCACTAAGTTCCTGACTCTGAGGGAACATCCTTTTTTTCTTGACGTTTTGGTGCTTGATCTGGGTAAAGAAGGACTTCTTTGCCTTGATAGCTGCATCAGTGGTGGCTGTCCAGGCTGACACTCAGCATCCTGCCTCTTTGCCTACTAGTTTGTACTAGGTGGTATTGATATCAACAATGGATTGAAACTCAATAGAATTGTTACCTATCAGCTCAAAATCAAATCCCATAACAACCACAACCACTATCTCAACTACAATCACAACTGCAACCAAAAATAACCACCAAACCACAGCCACAAACAATTACTATACCATCAAATAATTCCACAAATAATATCCCCTTACTCATCAAAGACATCATGAAATGTGAACAGAAATGTCCAAATGCCATCTTATTTGGTGTCAAAGACACCAATGAATCAGATGACATCACCAAAGTTCACTATATCATAAGCAACTCAAATACAACAAACATCTCTCCTGAAGATATCATCGAAATAACCAGAGATGGCCCTGGGTACAAATCCAATGACGGCACTTGGCCCCAAGATTTTTTAGAGTTGTATGCAAAAATGAGTCTAGCAAATGCATATTTATTCATACAATAAACGCCATTGCAAAAACAAATCCCAACCACAAAAAACTTCACTCAAGACCAGACTTATCCATATTGCAAAGAATCCACTCCCGTGAACTCCACGCAGAACTCAAAAACCGTCTAGACAATGGAGAAAAGGACCCATACATTGACTACCGAGCTGATTGCATCAAAAGAAAGTCACACAACCCACAACTCCACATCCAACCCCGCCCCATCCAATTCAACATCACTCAAAACTAGGCACACATGCCCCTAACTACCTTTATTCCAACCACAACTGGCCTTAAATGCAAGCTACTCAATGCAAGAAGCCTTGTAAATAAAATACCTGAATTTCTCCTTTTACTAAATACGGCTAAATTCGACATTATATTTGTCTGTGAAACATGGCTCAACGCATCTCCCTGACTCCATTACCACAGTAATAGACTATCATGTTTACTGATCAGATTGTGAAATCCGTAGAGGAGGTGGTGTTGCTATCTTCTATAAAAAGTCCCTACATCTAAAAAACATCCAAGTGACCCAGGAGCTTGCTATTCCTGAGACCATCGTCTGTGAACTGTCTTTAAATATAACATTTCGGTTCTTACTATGTTACAGAGCCCCTGATTATGACATCGAACATGCAAACAAGCTAAATACACTACTAACATGGGCAGCATCCTGCCCACACGCTTTCATCTTTCTTGGTGACTTCAATCTACTTCATATTAACTGGACCCTTAACGAATGTACAACTGAACCCACACATGCAACCTTCTACAATGCAGTAACAAATCTGGGACTAGAACAACTAGTAACCAACAACACTAGACTTAACAACTGCCTCGATCTCATCTTCTGCAATAGTTTGAATTCAATTTATGGAATACAAATTAAAGAACCCTTTTCCAACAGTGACCACAGCATGATTGACTTTTGTCTCAACATACATCCACACAAAAATCATCACAATGACGGAATCCCCAATCATAACTTCAAAAAAGGCAACTATGATCTTATAAACAACGATCTCTCATCCCTTGATTGGCAATTTCTATTCACTGGATGCAATACTGTAGAAGACCATTACAACATATTTTTACTTGAAGTCAAAAGAGCCATCAAACTATATGTACCATTAACAACTCCCAAAACCAGAAAAAACAAATTACCCATAACAATAAGGAAGCTTCAATCCAAAAAGAAATCACTTTGGCAGAAAAACAAATCTGGTCATGTTGCCAACTTCAAAAGCCGATACAAAAATTTATGCCATCAGATAAAAACTGAATGCACTAATTATCACATTAAACAAGAAGAAAACCTTCTATGCACCAATTCCACCTACACTTTCTACAATTTTGTAAACAACAAACTAAAAGACTCAAGGTCCATCCCACCCCTGAAAGGACCTAATGGCAAAGACTGCAACGACAACGCTATTAAAGCCAACCTCTTTAACACAATCTATTTGTAAACAGCAATGGATCATGCCCAGTATTTCCTAGTCGAACCACAGATAACTACAATGATCTAATGCATATTGATTTTACAGAAGACAATGTTGAAAAAGCACTACGCAATCTAAAACCATCTCTATCTATTGGACTGGACGGAATATGTGCCTACTTCTTAAAAAAGCTATCCACTGCCATAGCCGAACCTCTAAGCATAATCTTTGAAAAATCTTTCAGGACCAGCTCCTTGCCAAAACTATGGTCACAAGCCATGTTCATCCCCATCTTCAAAAAGGGAAGACCCCAGCCTAGTTGAAAATTACAGACCAATCTCTTTATGCTGCGTCACCTGCAAAGTCATGGAATCAATCAAAAGAATCAACCAATCCATCATCCTCCACTTAGAAACAAAACAACCTACTCTCTAATAAACAATTTGGTTTCAGGAAAAAACTATCATGTAATCTGCAACTCTTACACTGCAAAAACATATGGACCACACAACTCGATCAGGGCAAAGCAATAGACAAATCTACATAGACTTCTGTAAAGCCTTTGATTCAGCGGTACACGACAAACTACTCCTGAAACTAAAATCTTATGGTATCTCTGGACACCTACATAACTGGATAGAAGCATTCCTGTTAAACAGACAACAAATGGTCAAAATTGGGAGCTTCCTATCAAATTCTGTACCTGTTAACAGTGGTGTCCCCCAAGGCAGTGTTCTAGGACCAACTCTTTTCATACTCTACATAAATGACCTCTGTGATCATATTAAGAGCATCTGCGTTCTCTTCGCTGATGATAAAGCTATTCAACACCACAGACAATACTGCTACCCTTCAAAAAGACCTTGACTATGTATCAGAATGGTCAAACAAATGGCAACTTCAAATCTCAACAAATAAATGCTCTGTCCTACATATTGGCAAAAAAAATAATAATCCAGAAAATAAAATACAGGCTAAATAGTCAAGACCTTGTTGATGATCCAAACTCTGTCAAGGATCTTGGAGTACTCATTTCTAATGATCTAAGTGCTAGAGCCCACTGTAACTACATAGCCAAATAGGCATTAAGAGTTGTTAACCTAATCTTATGTAGCTTTTTCTCTGGTAATATTACGCTAATAACTAGAGCATACAAAACATTTGCTAGACCAATACTTAAATACAGCTCATCAGTCTGGAACCCACATTACGTATCTGGTATTAACACAGTTGAGAAAGTCCAGAAATATTTCACAAGAAGAATTCTCCACTCCTCTACTCGTTGCAGAACACCTTAGCCATCAGACTCGAAATTCTAGACCTAGAAAACCTAGAACTACGCCGCCTTCGGTCCGATCTAAGTATAGTATATAAAATTATACATTGCAGTGTTCTACCTGTCAATGAATACTTCAGCTTCAACCATAATAACACAAGAGCAAACAATAGACACAAACTCAAGGTTAATCGCACCAAACTTGATTGCAGGAAATACGACTTCAGCAACAGAGTGGTCAGTCTGGAATACTCTATCTGACTCTGTGGTTTCTTCCCCAAACCCCAAAAACTTTAACCTTAGACTGTCTACTATTGACCTCACCCCTTTCCAAAGAGGTCTGTAGGGGGCGTGCATAAGCGCACCAACATGCCTACCGTCCCTGTCCTATTTCTTTTTATTTTTTATTTTTCTTATATGTATCCATGTATTCATAACTATGTTTTTACTTATTCCTATTATCTTGTAAGCAATTGACAAAAATAAATAAATAAACAAGTAAATAAATAAATAAATGCAAATGAAAAGAAAAAGGGAAGGCAAACAAAAGAAATATGGGATCTTTTGTATTTAATTTGTATTTCATTTGTATTTAGCTGGAGCTTGAGTTAGATCATGCATTTGCAATTTGCCTTTCTTCTTCTGTTCACCCTTGGAGTTGCCCCTTAAATCTTCCCTTCTCCCAATCCATAGTCTCCTTTCCATTATTTATCACTGGGGTCAGTTTACACTTTTGGGGAGTTCTGTCCCCACATACAAGACCCTTTTCTTTGGAATTCCCTGGATATTTCTTGCTGGCTTTTCTTCTTGCACTTCATACTACCTGCTCTGATTCAGATCTCAGTAGGTCTATCTGTGCCATGTGCTCATGAGTAGTTTTGCCACAACAATAGAAAACCACTTAATATGCATGACCTTAACATAACTTAACATAAATTGGAGTTACAAATGAAGACCCTAGTCAGATACAGTCAGAGAAGCAAGGAATATCTAGGAATTCATTTACAATCCTGGATTGAATTGTTATAATTATTGCCTTTACTTTCTCACGCTCTTATTGAGTTGTACTAAAATGAAAGATCAAGAAAGCAGCATATGCGCCAAGTCAGAATTTTAGAGGTAGTTCTGAATTTACCAATCAGTGCTTGGGGTTTAGGCATATATAGTCTTCAAGAAAATAATTGCCATGGGTATAGATCTGTAATTACTAAGATGTTATGTACGGTCTAAACTTTGTGAACAAATTGTGTAAGTGTTATTTCATGATGGTTCTTTTTCAGAGATCCTGGGTCAGTTCTTCAAAGCTAGTTGTTATTATGCTGACTTTCCTTATGAGACATACATTAATTTTTGCAAACGATAATTTATAGAAATAAGGAAATCAAAATTTTAATAGCTCTTTGAACTTTCGTGAACAGTTTTTCCCCAACTTCTATATAGTAAAAGCAGACAGTGGAAATAGTTATTTTCTTCATCCACTTGAGTGTTTCTGTTTTATTTATTTATCCATCCATCTTACCATAAGCAATCTTTTTCCAAATATTTTTTTCCTGTTTTGCTGTATACTAGAAATAACTATTACAGGTCTTCATTCCTCCATTGTGATAATTTGAATGTTATATTAAATGTTAATCTCTCATTTTTTTCCTACAGTAAAAAAAAATGGCAAAAATGGAGGTGAAGACATCTCTTCTCGACAATATGATTGGGGTTGGAGATATGGTTCTTCTGGAGCCCCTTACTGAGGAAACCTTTATCAGCAATCTCAAACAACGCTTTGATCACAATGAAATATATGTAAGTATGCTATAAATAATTTCCATATATCAGTTGATATGGGATTCATTTCACACGAAGGCATAGATTGAAAATTCTAGACTGATTTATGAAACGTAATTTTTTTGGCCAATATTACAAAAATAAGATTATTAAATGTGTGATATATAATTATATCCTCAACAGTAGATCTATTTTAATTGTTGTAATAGATTGAGTAATTTAATAATCTAATTATAAATTGATGCATAACTACTATAATTCCACTTGCTGTGTGTGTCTTAGTAAAAAGTATTAATAGTGACATATGGCTTGTGAGACTGTAGAACAGAATGGGTAAAGATGAGATTAGGAAACCTAAATACAGAATAAAAGGAAGATCTAAGTGGGCATAATTGGAGGAGAAAAAGGATGTTTTAGGATTCCATTTAAAAATAAATATCATCTATGCAGTTTCATATTTTTTCTTTACTACTTAATTTGTATACAGATAAAAAGACACTGTTGTTTCTTGAAAGCCCACTGAGCAATTCTCATTTGGGATTAGTACATCACATGAAGCCACAATGTTGTTTGAGAGGTTCCTTTATTCAGTGCAGTGTGTTTCTTAATCATGGTTTTACTTAGCATGTTATGCATGCTCAGCCAATTATGTTTTACTGAGCAAATCACATTGTCAGCTCTGGTTCAACATGATGTGTGAATCCAGCATTTTTTCTTTTCTTTTGAAGTTCTTTGGAACTTCATCTGCTGCCTTAATGCAAATGACCGAGTGGCTTCCCTCTCCAGAATTACGCTTAACTCTTTTAAAAAAAAAAAGTTGCTTAGACTTGCTGAAGAGAGGTTGCAACATAAAATCCTCTTTAAATGTGATCCTTTCTTTTGTTAAAAGAAAAATGTCTAGGTCTCAATATCATATTTTTTCTTGGTTTAGAAATAGTGTGCCTCTCTCTACTCTTCACCTCTCTACAATTAAATACCATCATCTCTTCCACTTTGATTTGGAGTTTAAAGTCATCCACTGAAAAGAGCATTAACATTAACCTTGATTACATTCTCAAAATTGCTTGACGTTCTCCTGATCGTTCCTGCTTATATGAGATTTATAGCATTATATGCTGTACTTCACTTGGTTTTCAAAACTTCATTCCTGTGGTTGAAAGGATTGCTTAGTAATAAAGGAGGATTGTAAGAAATGTTACACTTCTACATATATATTAAAGACTTGGGAAAGTCAGCATTATTTTCTAAAACCAACTCAGCATTTTATAATTGCCCAGTTTATGTTTTCTACTGTTGATTTTGAAATTTACAATAAGACTATCATAGCCAAGGCAGATTACTCTGTCAAAACTGATATATAAACTGATTAAATTAAATTCATGTTTGGCCACAGCTTAATATGGCCAAACATGCAATTGAGCTGTGGTGGCACAGTGGTTAGGATGCAGTATTGTATTCTTGTTCCATTTTTTTAATATTTTATAGCATATAAAAATTTCAATTTCAATCAAACAGTGTATTGTCTGGGTACAAATATTTTTATGATATAATAATCAAAATGTTTACAACAATATTCATTACATTTATGTTAATTATAGTAGTATCAATAATAATAATAACAACAATATTATTTACTTAACCAATTCAACACACCTTTCTTATAGCACTGAGCTGGTCAGGACCAGCTCAAGGTTGACTCAGCCTTCCAACCTTCTGAGGTTGGTAAAATGAGGACCTAAACATAATTTACATTTTTTCATAAAATAAAATGGATTCAAGAAAACATTTTTTAAAAACCTTAAAAATATAATTAATTGGTAATTATTGTTATGATATTAAGATATCATAAAATGGAGTATATTGACTGAAGTGTTTTCATCTGTAAAAGTCTTAGGTACACATGTATGAATGTATTAAAATAAAGAAATGTATTATAAGAGATACTAAGCAAGTGGCTTTGATTGTGGCTTGCCAATGTGTGAAATGCAATAAAAAATAGATTATCTGAGAAGAATATATGAATGTTCCTTTAAAGAAAGAAAATTATTCAAACAAAGGACACTTTGTGTTCCTATACAACGTATTGCTCTTGCAAACTAATGTCCTCAGTTAGCAGTGACTGATGAGGAAAGAGATCTTGGAGTGATGGTACATAGATCAATGAAGGTGTCAATATAGTGTACACATGCTTTAAAAACGACAAGAGCATATTAAGGATAATAATAAAAGATATTGAAAGTGGGGATGACCGTATCATAAGATCCTTATATGAATCAATTATGTGATTGTATCTGAAATATTCTGTGCATTTCTGGTCACCGTATCTCAAAAAGTTATAATTGAGCTAGAGAGGGTTCCTAGGAGGGCAACTAAAATGATCAAGAGGGTGGAGCAACTTTGTCCAAAACTTTCCTCTGTCAGGAAAGGTTTGCAATATTTGGGGCTGTTTAGTCTAGAAAGGAGAGAATGAGAGAGGACATAATTTGTAGTATACAAAATTATGCATGATGTGGGTAAAATGGGCAAAGAAAAGCTATTTTCTTCTCAAAATACTAAAACCAAATGTCATCCAATGACGATGAAAGAATGGGGACAGAAAAATGACTTTTTAAATATATAAAATGTTTAATTTAGTTTTGGAATTTGATACCAAGATGTGGTATTGGCTATCAGCTTGGCTGGCTTCAAAAAAGGGTTGGGCCAAGTCCTAAGGATCAATGTCTATTAGCCTTGATAGCAGTGTGACTGCCTCTGAAGGTCATCCACTGAGAGACTAGTGAGTTTCCTTGTGCTCTTGAGGGGTCCTTGGTGTTCTCTGAGCTTGGTTATTTTCTTGCAGATGTTTCATTACCCAATCAGTGTGAGGGGTTAGGGTTAGCTAGCACAATTCTACTAGTTAAGTGAGGGGTCCGATCCAGCAGGGCACTGCTTATGGTATTACATTCAACGCATCACTTACAAATCTTAACACGATGTATGAGCTTATATAAGGTGGCATAATCCTTCAATATCTGGAGTGCAGTTGTTACAGAAAATCTTATAAGTAGAACTTTTAGCTTATTTCAAAATTTGGTCATGACTGCAGTGAGTGGAGAAAATTCTCTTTCACAAAAGTCCATATGAAGGAAAAGTTAAAGAGTATTGTATACAGCATTTTTCACTTAAAATCTCCCCCTCTCTAATTCTTTCTATGTGAATCTCTGATACCTTCCAACTGTCTCATTTTAAAATAAATACTCTTTATGGTGGAGAAACTGAATGAACCCAAACTCCACAAACATTATCTCTTAGATCTTAGGACCAGCTTGTGGAACAGCTTCATGTTTGGGGAGGTAGCAATGGGCAGGGAAATTAACTACATGCCTGTTGTAGTATGATTTTCATTATTATTTTAGGATCATTTGCCTTCCAGCTAGCAATGAATCTTATGAAAAGTTTTGTTCAGTTGCATGGTTTTTCATTTTTCCAGGCTTTTAAATAAATATTTAAATTCCTTTCTTCAGCTCTTGAATAAAAAAGTAAATGATGAAGCAAACTACAGATAGTCCTCAACTTACAACAGTTCATTTAGTTACTGTTCAAAGTCACAGCGGCACTATAAAAAGTGATTTATGACCATTTTTCACACTTACAACCACTACAGCATCCCCACGGTCATGTGATCAAAATGCAGATGCTTGGCAATTGACTCCATATTTATGACGGTCACAGTATCCTGGGATCATGTGGTCACCTTTTGTAATCCTAACAAGCAAAGTCAATGGGGAAATCAAATTCACTTAACATCTGTGTTACTAACGTAACAACTGCAGTGATTCACTTAACAACTGTGGCAAAGAAGTTTGCAAAATGGGGCATTAACTAAATGAGACATTAATGAATGTCTCACTTAACAACAAGAATTTTGGCCTCAATCTTCAGTTGAGGATTACCTGTATCTGATTGACTTTAAGAATAATGTCAACTCATGTGCTCAGGATAGGATTAATAAGATTAAAACAAAATCCTCGGTGATGTTAAGAAATGATGTTTGATTGCCAAATGAACATAATGGTTTTTTTCAGTGAGGTGCCACACTACATGTTCCCTTCCTAATTTACAACTTTTATTTTATAATTACTGCTATAAATGTAAAAGACATTTGACTGGAAATTGACAATAAACCCTGGAAGATAAGCAGCAGGAAATGTAAAGAAAACTGCATGCATTTATTCACCAAGAGTTGAGCTCAGCTCAAGGGCATCTTTGCAATGTAAATTTTATTACTGCTTTCTTGTCTTCCTTTTTCAATGAATATATTTGTTTTGTCTCCTTCCCTACTGCCCTGCTGTAAGTTATAGTTCATGAAAATATTGGTAATTGGTTTAATTAAAAAGTTTCAAATGTTGGAAATTAAAACTTTGGTTGATATAACAAGATGTGATGAAATACAAATTGTACATACATCTTGTTTAGACGCTTCAGCAAGGCTCTATGAATTCATAGCTATTCTGCTCTGCTTCATGAAAACAGAACTTTACTATGTGAATTTTTTTTCTCACTATCACTTACTCCAAAGTTTCCTTTAAAAAAAAAAAGATTAGAACAGGAACCTTCTGTGCATGTGTGTTATGGCTAAGTGCCATAGTTTTCAGTGAACATGATTGGTTCTAGCCAATTTTCTCCCATTCACCACCAACTATGTAAATAATCAAACTGCTTTTCAGTCTCATTTAAATGTTAAAGTCTAATTTGGGGAAGGAATGGTGCATGAGCCAATGAAAAAGAAAGTGATTGCAGTGTTCTTGCAATGTTAGAGTGCTCCCTTTTATCACCTCTCCTTTCAAAGTTTCATAGTGTTTTTAAAACTGGTTGTCAGCTTTGAAATTCAGCTGCCACATATATTTTTTTAGACAGTTAGAGGAGTTGAAAAGTTCAAGGTTACTCTGTGTGTCGTATTAAGAATTTGCAGTGCAGTTAATTGGTTCTCGTGAATGAAGTGTATGAAGTGTAGAAGTGGGAGGAGAGAAGGTGGATTC